GCAGGAGACCTTGTGCAAGAACGCTGAGCTGTCACTGTCGTACTCCGTGGTCACGCGGAGTTTCGGCCGGCCCAGCTGGAAAAATCCCCCGACAACTCCATTGTTGGAGGCGGCGGGGGCGGTGGCGGTGGCTGCCCGTGGTGACGGCGGAGATTTCGCATCGACGTCTACTTCAACCATTAGTGCTGCTTCGGTAGAGGATTTTTTTTTGCACTCTAGTAATAATTGGGATTTTTCGAAAATAAATAAAAGAGAGTATAAACTTCGGCACTTTATGCGGAAATGTAGAGAGAGATTAGGTGGTGGGAATTTTGGGGGTAAAATTTTTTAAAGGAAAATACCATGGATAATTATATTGACACCATAAGTTTTATTTCTTACATTACATTTTAGTTATATTTAAAGTTCTTAATTTTTTGCTTATTAAAGCACTTATATTTCTAACAATTTTTCATGTCATTTTTATCTTCAAAACTTTTTATTAGTTAACACATTTGTTATCCAATAATAGTTTTATATCTAAAAATTCATTGAAATGGTGAAAACAACTTGTTTTTTCATCATATTTTTAAAAATAAATAAATATAAATTCCAAAAAAAAAATTCTCTCGTTTTAAAACATAAAAAACAAAAATATTTTGATATAAATCATTATTTAGAACGCGACATATTAATTAATGGAAGGTTAAAGTTAAGAATTCTACAGAAAAAAGTTAAACAAAATAATTGCTACAATGAGCAAAAGTTGAAGAGTTTAACTGCAATTAAATTTGGTGCAACATATAAAAAAAATTAAATTTTTACTATAACCACCCAAATATGATTGAATGGCCACTACATATTATCATTTTTATCGCTGTTTGATGGATAGTCAAATCAAATTTTTAGTAAATTTTGATAAAAATTAAAATTTGACAAAATAGTTGATTAAAATTTGTAAATCTCATAAAATATGCGATTAAAGAGTAATATTATTCAACATCACTAGTGTTATCAATATAAATGATAACTATATGACATTAAATGATGATTTACTTAAATACAATATCACATGATTCATTTAATTAAGCCCTTATTTGACATTCTTTAAAAAATTTAATACATTTTTTCCCTTTTCTTTTCAACTATTAATTCCTTAATAAAATAATATTATAAGTAAATCAAAAAAAAATTCTTCTTTTTAACCACACATTCTCCGAAAAAAATATTATTTCATAATACATTTTACCAAAATTTCTCTTTAATGGCTCAAACAATGGCTAAATTTATAGAGTGGTCAACAAAATTGGTGTTAATAAGCATTATTCGTACAGATTTATATGGCATGATATTCATTTCTTATTGATGAACCAATTAATGCCACACCTAGAGAAGCGAGAACTTATTTTCTTAGAGAATACTTTTACGCTACCAAAATTGTAGTTCAAAATCTGATCCCATTATACAAAGTCAAATCACAAAATAATAATGAAAATAAGTAGTCTATTTCTTAAGGATAATTTTACGTGTACATCTCATGATAATTTTATATGTGCATAATGTTGAGAAAAATATAGGAAAATTTGAAAACTTAATGAATTCCAAGGCACGAAAAAACGTTATCTTTTAAGAGATGTTTCTCCCCTATCCAACGAAGTCATGACTGTGGTATGATAGAAAATCTCTCTTAGGATACAATGGAGGCGTTTGATTCAAATTGTGACTCTTTGATCAAACCAAGAAGACACTCAAAAAAGAACTGATGATGCCAAGAGAAAGAGAGAATAATATTTTTTTAATTTGTTTTGCAAACGAGAATTCGTCCAGAATTTATAGAAATTGAGGCAACCGTTTGAATAGGTGTGTCCCTTGAAATGAAGAACACATCTGTTGGAAGTAACAGTCAAAACGAACAGATGCACTTATTCAAAGTCTTTTGAAAATAAAATTATCTTCCCCGTTGCGCAACGACAAACACTAGTCGGGGCGGTAAATCATTCGCAAAACAAAAAAATAAATACATGTAAAATGATGAAAAATATCTCACATAATGGATTACACTCTCTCATATGGAGGGAGCCTATGAATATTTTATTGTATGTGTGCCTTCTCCATGTAAGGGAAGGTTTAATGCAGTGTGTACACATAATATTGTCCATTTTTTAATTGGCAAACACAATAATATAATAATATAAAAGGACAACGTAGAGTAACAAAAATGCTGAAGGTCTTACCGCTCCAAGACCTTTTATGCATGGAACCCCGTGTATTACTTTTCTTCTTCACGACTTTTCCCTTTCTCTTCATGGCAAAAATGTATATCCATTATTCAGAGAAACCTTTGAGAACAATTGAAATCGATGTCAATTTTCAGAAATAATTGACTATCTTGAACAATGAGAAAAAACGTTGCATCAAAGAAATGAATAACCTGAATCTTGAACAACTTATCTGTTATTGAAGACACCCTTCACAAATTTTGAGATTTAAACAATTTTATGAAAGGGGAAAAACAAAATGAAAACTTGCTTTATATTAACTGTAACGAATCCATTCGTCGGAACTTTAGGAGAAAAGGAAATGCTCCAGATGGATCTCTCATTCGCTTCAGTAAACGCTCGCAGATGAAAAAAACCATCCTTCTACAGGAAATTAACAGTGGAAAAGCATGAGGGCAGTTGTGCTTCAACCAGTTCTGTTCTTTTTACCCATATGTTCTATTAATTTTTATCAAGATTTACTAAAATTTGATATTTATCTATACCAAACATGGGCTTACTTTTAGTAAGACAATTAGTTGGTTCGTTAGACAATTCGTTTAATCCAAATAATTTCATTTGCCTATCCTAAATAGTTGAAATTATTTTGATCAATCGAATTATACTTAATCGTCCAAGACAGGTGTAATTATCTTCCAAAACAATTAAAAATATATGTGTTACGTGATAAAATAATTATTATCGACGCGGGCTCCGCATCTAACCTAAAGGTCCCCATTACATCCAGTATGTCCACTAGTATTTGCATCAAAAACCAAATCACAAAATGTCTCAGTTGTCGAAGCAACCAATTAGCAAAGACATGCCTAACTCTGAAATTTAGATGGAACACAGGGCCTATACAAGCCAGACACATTACAAGGGGGGTGGATAAATTTTTTTTTTTTAAATAATTCCCCATACCCCCTCACACAGCATGTGAGGGAGCTCACAGGACCTGTACATTAGGCTTTTTCCAACTTAGATTCAATGACAATTGAAAGCCTCCTCCAAAACTATGGAAATAAAGGCATCCCTTGACTTCGAACATAGACATCATTTTTAGTATATTCTGACACAATCAAATCAGTGTAATTTTCCATGTAAACTCATGCGTATATGTAACAAATTGCATGACAAGTGTCGAATAAGCCCAAAACACAATCAAAATAATGAAAGTTGGACTTAGTCAATGACTTTAAATGATAATGAGTGTTTTCATTAACAAGAATGATTAAAAAAAATCTCTGAAAATCGTTTAAAAAGATGATTATAAATACAACAAAAAGACGGTTGAAAATCAAATGATTATAAAGCTCAAGGAAAAAAATATTGTGGATCCAATCTTCTGCCCTTAAAAATTCATCTCAGATCAAGACAAAATTAGGGCTAACACTTTTGTAAATCTTAATATTCTGCAAATCAAAGTGTCATTTTCTATCGAAAATTCGTCGTAAACCTCTTCTTTCTTCATTTAAACAAAAAATTCATTCCAAGCAGACCAAAAAGGGGGATGAGCGTGGTCAAAATCTTGCTAAAATTCAGGTAGAAAAACTTCATTGTTGGCAATAAAAAATTATTTCTGTTTTTTTATGTCAAGGGTATGTATCTTCTCTTGAAAACTTTCAATATTTGTCTCAAAAGTTATGCACATAAATAAATATTTTCTCGGATGCTTTCTAATGAGTGCATTCAATAGGGAGTTTTAAAACACTTTTAAGGATTTATAAAAAATTTAGAAGGATTCAATATTGAGGGGGTGCTTGAGAGTGACTTTTCACCCCCAAAAAGTTGATTTTTTTACTGTTATTTCACTATTTCAACCGTAAAATTTGACTTATTATTTCACAGGTGGCTCCAACTTTTCTACTAACGGTCAAAAAATCAATTCTCAAAATCGCTCCCAAACGGGGCCTGAATTTTTTAAACTCTCGAAAATTATTGTATACTTTCAAAAAGTCTTTGAAATTCAATTAAATCTATTAGAAGTCTCTACATGTTATGTGTATTCAAAATATCAATAACTTTTAAAAACTCTTATAGGGTACTAGCTTTTAAGCAAAAGTACAAAAATAAATTCTCAAAATTTATCACTCATTCACCCATGATTTCAGGAGACTCTAACAAATATTTTTTTTTTTTAAATATGTGCTTTTTTGTCTTTTAATATTTATCTTTCATTTTCCCCATACAAACTTTTAAAGTTATGATTAAAAAATTTGGGTATCGTTATTTCCATCCACATTTTTTATATGTACAATCCACTCTAAGTTCATCCCTAATAAAATTTATTTTTTTAAAAAAAAATACTATTTGCGTTCAAGTCATTTCCAATCTCGTCCTTATTAAATTCATTCATTTAAATACTATATATCTACATAAATTTTATATATTCATCCCATTTTAAATACTTCCCTAATACTATAGATCCACACAATCCCTAAAACCATAAACTCTTTCATAGTAATTTCCAATTGTAATAAAAGCCAATGCTGCAAACCATCATTCAAGATTTACCAATATTTTACCAAAATATACATTTTGAGGGCATAATTGATCAGTCAAGGCCTTTCAAATTTCAAATATGGTTCTAACCCACATCAAATAGTCACATTCTTATGACATGTTGAATATTTGCTATGGTTCCTAAAACAAAGATGAAAAAAAAATTCCAAAACTCATTAATGTCTTAATGCATTAGGAAAAAAATCAAATAACAAAACACGATAAAAAAGGTAATCCTTACTTCTTCAAATTTTTCTTCATATATTGCTAAGTTTTTATATTTTTGCTCTAACGGTGTCTCTTCCTTTGTTCACTAAATTCTTTTTCTATTGTTGTTCTGAGTATTTCAATACTTCGAACAATAATAGCTAAAAAAAGAAAGAAGAAGAAAGTTCAATTAAGCAAGCCAAATTTTACCAACTTTTGCTGAAGATGTTG